TTCCCCGCCCCGCTCACCGCTACACCGGAAGTCCCACCTCTTCCCCACTTTTCAGCTACCCCCCCAATGCCTCTTCATCCCCTCGGCCGTCCCGCTACTCCTCCCCACCTTGCCACTCGATCCTAAACTCAGGCGACAGGGGATGGGGAAGAATGAGGCTCCTGGAGGGATGGAGAGGAGAGGAACGGGGAGAGACGAGGGACCGGAGAGGAGAGCCCCTCCCACCCTGAAAATATGCAGAAACTAGGAATAGATTTATAACACTGATAATTTAGAATTACTCAAGCTTTAGTTCACTTTAGTTCCAGCCTTAGATCCGGGTCTTTGTAGCACTGGTGCCTGTGGCACTACGTTCCTCCCCCACCCGCCCCCCCCCTCACCTCGAGATCCGCCCATGATCATATGACTAACTTTGGTGACACGTAAATTTTCATTACGATTAAAAAAAGTACCTGGCGATGTGCCTGTACACGAACAGTAGCTGCATAGCGTGACGGATGAGCATCCATACTTCCAACAACCGCTGCTATCGACGGTTTGCGTGAATCACCGGCCGGCGGATGTGTTATATCACAACCAAGAAAGATTACTGCAAGTAAAAATTCCAAGACTAATTCATTTCGGAAACGAATTCTTTTTTTTAAAAATTAAAACTAAGTTTTTATTGAACAGACCTGGTTCAGCGAAAATTCGTGGGCGAACATTTGGCAAGAGGATTGAATTGACACCACCCAATTTTACATTCATTTTCAGACACAAATTCGATAGTGTTTGAGGTGTTGTTTTAATGACATTTTTCGCTTGAACACATTGCGTTGCAATACCCAGCACCGTATCACCAACCCGTTTAACCTCAGCTGAAAAAAACGTACTCCAAAGTTCACATAAATTTGTTAGCGTAGTGGCACTAAAAAGTACTTTTTTTTTTGAAGTTTTTTCTGCCCAAAATCGAAATTTGAACTCTTTTTTTAAGTTTAAAGAATTTATCTGCAATCTAAAAACACGCAATAATTAGTCAGGAGGCTAACTGAAAGTAAAGCGGCTTTCCAAACTGCTACACAGCTTCATTGCCACATCTTTACTTTCACTGTGTCTTTTGAACGGGCTTACCCACCCAGTAGCTTGTGCATATGTAAAATTCATCGGTCCGTGTCAGTTCATTTGTATACATGGATGAGGGTGGTCGTTTGCTGCAAAACTCACTCGTTTCTGATTTTTCGGTAAACTTGAGTATTTCTCATGCCCAACTACAGGGAATTCTAGCTGAAAGTGAAGTGGCTCTCCAAATCGCTACAAAGCTTCACTGCCATATCTTTACTTTCACTGTCTTTTTAAGGGGCTTACCCATCCAATAGCTTGCTCACATGCTAAACTTCTTGGTCCGTGTTTCAAGTTGGGTCGGAAAGGTGGGAGGGGAAATCGCTCTTTCAGTTGTTTCACATTACAGGCTAAACAAAAATTTTTACCATAAACTGGTGTTTTTCCAGGAAGTACCACACAAACAAGTTGAAGTGCTGCAAATGTTGTTTTGAGGTATTTGAACATTGGTTCCACTTGATCAACACCAACTGCATATTTGCAAAAACATGGCTGTCCAATAATCGGCATACCCGCATCGTTTGAGATTCGTTGTAATTGAGTGGTAAAATTCCTGAAATTATTGAAATTTTTTTCAAAAACACTTCTAAAGTGTAGCTCATCTAAAAAAAAAAATGTAAAAATGATCGTTTTCTATGAAAAAACGAAAATTTTGAAACAAATCCATCGCATGTTTTATCCAAAAAAATGTAAAAACGATTGTTTTCTATGAAAAAATGAATGTTCTGCTATAACTAACCGGAGATCATTTTCTTTGACATGTTGCTGTTGTGCAAAACAAGCGATTGCCCAAACTTTCACTTCGACACCTGTATGGAATTGCTTGCCACGCATATCCCAGACACCCTGATTCGGGAGAGCAGTCGCTTTTGTTCGACCTCCGTACAGCAATTTGGGCGCCGTTAGCACACGACCTTTGACCTTCAAAATATTAAAAAATTTATACAAGAAAAAAAAATTCCTATGTTTACTGATAACTGGAAATTTGCATTTTTTTTTAAAACGGGCAAATCTGGACGGTGTCCAATAAAAAAAAACCTCAGTCATTGCCGAATTTATTGCAATTCCAAATTCATGCGCAAATGGATCAGCATTGAATTCGGCTCGGCGAACAAGATTTGATATTTCACGTTCACGTTCCGGTGCTGAACGTGCTGTGGCCTGAAACTTCCTCCATATATAATCTGCTAAAAACTGGCATCCTGCCAAGAAATATGCCATGTTTCAAGGAGGTAAAACAAAGGAAAATCAACACAGAAAAAAAGAGGTACCTTTATCACTGTACTAAAAAAAACAGGTACCTTTATCATTGTACTGGTTTGAGTATCAGTAAGTTTC